AATTTTATTAATTTTTTTAATTACTTTTATCTCTTTTTTCAACGCCTTAACTTCAATATTTAACTGCCTGCAGCTTGACAGCTTTGTTTTTAAATTCTAGTAACTCGACATAAGTGGTTCTTTTAGTTTTACATTTAAACACATACACACATATACATATGTGCTCATGCTTAKGCATACTTATATTAATATTTAACTTTTTCTTTGCTCGTTTTTATTGTTTTTATTTAATAATATGCATTTATATGTGTATTTGTGCCACTAATTTAGTTTATTGTACAAATTTGCAACATGCTCCTAATGCAATACTCCTCCTTTACGCTATTAAAATCCAATTAATTTGTCAGCCATAAGAATAGGTTACTAATTTTCATTATTTTATTTTCCTTATTTTCTTTTATACTTCTCTTTCTAATTATTTCTTGCTTTTTTTTTTTAGTTTCTACAGCACAGCTGAAGGGAAAGCTATATGGAATAAAGGCTAAAGGCTTATTTGCGCACTAAATATATTATTGTTGTTGCGAAAATGTAGTTCAAAGTAATTTAATTCAAGCTGGTGTTGTATTGGCAAGCGTAAAGTTTTGAAAAATTAAATATCACTCTTACTCAAAAAATTTTTAAAATATAAAGTAAACGAGTTGTTATTGTTCGTGACAGTTGCTGTGCGTAATAATAGTGACAAAATGAAACAATCGACACACAAACTGTTTCATGACAATTTAGTTCAATAATTTGACTAATTTTATAACGTTTACGGTTAGCGTCCCAAAATACAATAAGGGAGTATAAACCATTTGTTGTTCTTTTGAAATAAATATCGTTTACAGGTAAGCCTCGAGTAACAAGGACTACGGTGCAATTTATGCTTTGAATTGCGTAAAAGCAATAAAATTGTGCAATATTTTGCTGAAGCGAAACATCACATCATAAAACTAGAGAGAAAAGGAAGAAGAAGCGAAAAATCATTTAGCGTTCATCTGTTTTTTTGTGTTTTTTGCTGTAAAAAATTCACACAGCTGGAGAGAGTTCTGACAGTATCTCTTAGCAACATTATTACTTGTAGCATCATTATTCATCCTAACATACTACCAACATCTCTAACTCAATGAAATCCACTCACTAACCAGCCAGTTCTTAGTTTAGCAATTCTTAACGTGTTTCTACATATAAATTCGAGGCAAACGATCTACTTGCTCTGGAGCCTAGAACATAAGCAGACGTGAAATGCCCTAACCTTTTTTTTTTGGTTTTGTGATCCGATTTTAAAATCTCCTTACTTCGGAACACTTAACAACATTTAACATTGGGCCCAAACAAGTATTCAAGCGACATTATAACACTCAATTCTCAATCCTTCTCTTGTAAAATATCAATGTTCCATATATCATGTCTCTACTCATCTCTTTATAAAGCTGGCTCTCTCAGCTTCACATCAAAACACAAATTGAAAATCTAAAAAAATTAATAATATTAACAATTTATTTTTAATATTCAACTCGTCGTCTTTATTTTTAAACTTATCAATTCTTCATATTTCCAACCCCTCATCCTTGTCATCTGAGGTTTACCTGTACCCACAATGATTCAATAGTACCAAATTTATATTTTTCTAAATTTCTTCGGCGATCTTTAATCTCATCGCTTCCGCTCATTTTATTTTAGGTATAAAATCGTTAAAATTCTGCAAATATTTCATACTTTTTTCATCGTCGCTAAAAATKTCTATATATTTAGTTTTAATTTACCTTCGTATTCGAAATTTAGTTGATTGTAAAAAACTATGCTTGCGGTAGTCCAATTTTCTATACTTTTGTTATTTTTTTCAATTGTCACAAATACATATGCATGTTTGTATATGCCATTAAAGGGTTTTGGAATTAGCCTTCTGGCTTACAAAAAACAATTAACTACTTTGGTTGGGTTCTCCAAGCTAAAGTGTTTCGGCTGCTCGGCAGCTGCCGCAAAGGTAAAAAAGTGTATTGATGTGTGTGCGTGTGTGTGTGTGCGCGTGATTACGTTGAAGGCGCTGTAAATCAAAGCGAAAATAACTATTCTATTTATAGTAAATAAATGGTTTAAAAGAAAAATTGTTGTCCATATAAACAGTTTTGAAAAATGATAAAAAATGTTTTCCCATAAATAAAATTATGAAATAAAAAAATATTTATGAAATTAAAAGCAACCAATTAAAAATTCCTCAATTATACCAAAAAATAATAATGAATTTCTTGTGTTTACAAATTAGTG